GACTGAGCCACCCAGGTGCCCTCTCCTTCATTTTTGAAGGATTATTGTGCTCAATATAGAATTCTTCGTTGGCAGTCTTTTTCTTTCATCACGTCTTCCATGGTTTCTGATAAAAAATTAGGTGTTAATCTCATGTCCTTCTCTCTTTCTGCTTTTATGACTCTCTTTCTCTTTGACTTTGATTATGATGTGTCTAGATGCACGTCTCTTTGAATTTATCCTACCTGGAGTTCTTTGTGTTTCTTGGATGTTTAATGTTTTTCATCAATTTGGGAAGTTTCCAGTGATTATTTCTTCAAATATCCTTTCTTCCTCTTTTTTTTCTCTCTTTTCCTTGTAGGACTCTCATTTTGCATATATTGATACACTCAATGGTGTCCTATGGGTCTCTGATGCTATTCATTTTTCTTCATTCTTTTTTCTTTCTGTTCATCAGACTAGATAATCTCAGCTGACCTATTTTCAAGTTCTCTGATTCATTCTTCTGCCTCTTCAGATCTCCTGTTTAGTTTCTCTAGTGAATTTTTCATTTCAATTATTATACTTTCCAACTTCAAAATTTATTTTTGGTTCTTTATTAATATTCTTTATATGCTAAGACATTATTTTCATGCTTTCCTTTAGTTATTTAAACATGGATTTCTTTAGTTCTTTGAACAAAATAGTTGATTAAAAGTCTTTGTCTAGTAAGTCCAGTGTCTGAGCATCTGCAGGGAGTGTTTCCCTTTTTTTTTTTTTTTTAAGATTTTATTTATTGAGAGAGCAAGAGAGAGAGAGTACCGAGGGAGAGGGAGAAGCAGCCTCCCTGCTGAGCAGGAAGCCTGATGCGGGCCTCAATCCCAGGACCCTGAGATCATGACCTGAGCTGAAGGCAGCTGCTTAACTGACTGAGCTACCCAAGTGCCCTGGGACAGTTTCTATTAACTGCTTTTTTTCCTGTGCATAGGTAATAGTTTATTGTTTCTTTTTTTAAAAAATATTTTATTTATTTATTTGAGAGAGAGAGCACAAGCAGGGGGAGGGGCAGAGGGAGAGGGAGAAAGAGGTTCCCTACTGAGCAGGAAGCCCAACATCGGGCTCAATCCCAGGACCCTGGCATCATGACCCGAGCAGAAGGCAGATGTTTAAATGACTGAGCCACCCAGGCGCCCCTACTTTCCTGTTTCTTTGCATTTCTGATAATGTTTTGTTGAAAACTTGACATTTATTTTTTTTTTCAGATTTTATTTATTTGATGGAGAGTACATGCATGCTCACAGTCAGAGAGAGCGGCAGACAGAGGGAAAGGGAGAAGCAGTCTCCCGTGGAGCAGGGATCCTGATGCGGGGCTCAATACCAGGACCCTGGGATGATGACCTGAGCTGAGGGCAAACGCTTAACGGACTGAGCCATCCAGGCACCCCAAAACTTGACATTTTAAATAGCATAATCTAGGGGCGCCTGGGTGGCTCAGTTGGTTAAGCGACTGCCTTCGGCTCAGGTCATGATCCTGGAGTCCCGGGATCGAGTCCCGCATTGGGCTCCCTGCTCAGTGGGGAGTCTGTTTCTCCCTCTGACCTTCCCCCTTCTCATGCTCTCTCTATCTCATTCTCTCTCTCAAATAAAAAAATAAAATCTTTAAAATAAATAAATAGCATAATCTGGCAATTCTGAAATCCTATTGTTCCCCTCACTAACTAGGTTTTGTGGTGGTTACTGTTTTTTGTTGTGGTGGTGGTAGCTGTTCAGTTACCTTTCCTGAACTAGTTCTGTGATGTCTGTATTCTCTGTCCTCTGTGGCCACTAGAGTCTCTGCTTGGTTAGCTTTGTGATCAGCTAATTGTTGGATATCAATTTCCTCAATTCCAGGTATTTTTGAGGAGATTATATTAAAATTTTTTTTTTTTTTAAGATTTTATTTGTTTTTGACAGAGAGAGAGACAGCGAGAG